CAAAAGTTGGCGGTGGGTGGTGATGACTAGCTGCCTTCCCTCTAGCCTTACACTGCTAAATTAGGGATGCCTAGCGCAGATAGCCCTTGTGTAGCTTTGCGCAAAATTCAAAAAACAAAACGCTTGTGGATTAAAGGTGAATGTACTCTTCAGCAGCACACATAGTATTGACTTGCCCTACATTCTCCAAATTTTAATACCTTCTCAGTTTAAGTTGTTATTCCAAAACCACTTTCCTTTTCAAGTTTAACTATTTTATTACAATTTTGTGATTTAACAAATAAACTTTTGTTTTTAAAGTTACATACAAAACTTCTTTTTGAATAATAGAAATTACTTTTTTTAACACTTAAATCTGAACATAGTTTGTAAAGTTAGTATTGAAATGCATGAACTGTTGTGAAGTTATCCTGGGATGGTGTAGATGTGCTCGTATCTATACTACAACAGGTATATCTATTTTTATAAATTACGTGACTTCGTGGTGAAATATCAGTGGCATCCATTTCTTTAAGAAAGGACACTTTGTACTGATAATCTATTATTCTCTACCCAAAATTTTCATTTAATAATTTCATCATTTAAATTTTCGCTTCATTACTTATTTTGTGCTGCACTACTATTTTGCTAGGAAATGTGTTGTTACATACTGTGAAATATGTGATCCAAAGAAATTGTATGTTGTACATATATTCAGAGTTCTCTAAATCAAACTTATTAAATCACTTTGTTTTTCAATTCACTTTTAAGTTTTGCTTGAAATGAATAACATCAACCTCTAAGATGGTTGTTTCAACAAAAGGAAAGCACCATTAGTACCATATTTTGTGTAATAATACTTTTATATAGCAGGATAAAACAAAGTGTAATCTTTCTATGCTTCAAATGTGTTAATCAACCAGATAAACATGTGGAAGAAGCTATTTCGCAGAGGTGTGATTTTAAGATGGATAGGCTTGTTTAAATGTATTATTTTGAACAATTGTTATTTTTGTTTGTTTTTCTCAGATATTTGAACAGGGATTTTAGTTATAAACATTGTGAAATTCATGTTTTATTCCCATGTTTAAATAGTATTCAGCTGTTTGTCCTTCTTTTAGTACAATGCATTCCTAATGTGTCATAAAGTGTGCTTGCTTGTATAGTTTTGTAAGTTTAAAAGAAGAAAAATAAATACATTTTTAAATTCATTACTTTTTGTACTCTTTTTACAAGTAATAGAAAATTCAACTTCAAAAAAACTTTAATAGCAAATATGTTTTGGTATTAATGTACCAATATGGATACACTCATTTGATTGTGAAGTTGTATATATTCCCATTTAAATTATTACAAGTACAGAAAAAACTTTTCAAAAAGAAAGTAAATGTAGGGTTGGCTAATATCAATCCTTCAAGAGCAATGCAACTAAGATAATATGGACAGAATATGTATCATCCCTACATAATAGCACAGGTACACAGTGTAGTAGAATGGTATATATATTACTATATGTTAATTCTTGCATTTTGAAAAGGTTATTCTTGTTTTTTTAATGCAGTGTTTCAATAGACATAGGAATGTTGTACTTATAACGAAGTTCTAAATACAATGAGGTTCCAACTGTAACATTTATTTTTTATCTATTATTGGCTGGTAATGCCTGTTTCACCCTGTACTTCAAGGGGTTAATGATAATCATTTACACTAGAATTATGTTGTTGTTTTTTATTTAATTCTAGTTATTAATAACACTTATAAAAGTAGATACTGTGTTTCAAACTATGTTACCTCTGTGAAATTGGTTGACACCATTGTTTTGGTTTTTGAATTATCTTGTAATAAATAAAGTAGCAGAAAAAAGAACAACATGAAATTCAAACTTTTTGCTATGATGTTTACAGACATTCCAGAACTTGTAACGAAGTCATTACATAAATATTGTTTTAAAAGGACACACTATATAGTATTGTAAGGTTCTGATGACATATTGAGGAGATATTTAAAATATCATTTTCATGAACAATCCAAGCCATCCCTACAGTGCTATGGCCTGCCTGATACAGTCTTATAAATTTTCTTAACGACTGCTGTATTAATAATTTTCAACACAAGATGGCAGTAATACATACCGATAATTATATGAAGACTGACCAATAGATATAACTACATTTATGGTGTAAATTTTACCTTCTTAACTGGTTATGTTATTTTATATGTAATATATTACTTTTTATCAAATGGCTTTCTCATTTGTTAGTAAGACAGGTTGTAAAAATCCTAGAAACAAACATTTCCATAAAGTACACAGTTGCATGTACATCACCCAAACATTTTGATGGGAAAAAGTAAGATTTTTCAATTTAAATAAGAGCCTAGAATGGCCCAGTGCCTAATGTATAGGACTGTGGATCTGTAGTTGATGTCCTGTTATCACCTTTGAAGGAATGATACAGAAGGACTAATATCTGATGATTAGGGGTGGCTGGGTTATTAAATTATACTTTTCCTTCAGTTTTACTAATGAAGGTTTAAGCAATATTCCTCATCTTGTACAGTTGCTAGATGGAAACAAGATTATCACGTTAATTCTGAGCTGAAGAAAAAACTGGGAAGTTTAAAGAATGATAAATCTCCTGGACCAGATAATATATTTACCCAAGAATATGAAAGAGAATAAGGCTTGAGTATTTGAGACACTTGCTTCTATTTTTTCCTAAGTCCTTGAACGGTTGAAGTTTGCTAATGATACTCCTCTTTTCCGAGAAAGTGATACAAATTATCCCAGTTAGTCTTACATTAGTGGTGAGAAAAAGTTTTTGAAAGTCTTATAAAAGATGCTTTGCAAAATCATATAACAAAGCTAAAAATTTTGTTTGATAGTCAGCATGGTTTCACTTGAGAAAAATCTTGCATTTCTAATCTTTTGACATTCTTTGAAGAGGTTTCTACTTATTTAGATGAGGGTATCAGTATAGATTTTGTGTAACTGGATTTTCAGAAAGTATATGACAAGATGCTATATAAAAGGCTCGTTAAAAAAATTAAATGTGGGGGTGACTAGCTGAATGGAAGGTAGCAGAAAGTTGTTATAAATGGAATTCATTCAAATTGGGGTAACTCTGGGCTCAGTATTAGGATGTTGTCTTTTTTATTCATATCAATGATAGATGAAGTAATGGCCAATAAATTATTTAAATTTGCTAATTATATTAATGTTTTGAGTGTTGCTGACTATGAGGAGGATACTTTACAAAAGGATTTGGATTACTCAGTGAGCTAGGCAAATAAAAGGCAGGTGGCTTTTAATTATAATAAATGCATGTGGGATGTCACAATTTGAATTATGGGTATATTTTTGATGAAAATAACCTTAACTCTGCCAT